CGGATTTTAACAAGCGGTTTCTCGCTTTTGTTTTTATCTGCGAATTTCGCTGTGGCGGTCTATTCCGTCCCCAGGAATGAGGTACTGCTGCTTCAGAAAATGCTGGGAGCCAGCTGTTAAACACATTCTTTGTTAAAGAAGGTTGGTTCAGGCAGGGCCCATGCAGTGATGTGATTGCTGCGCCAATTGCGCCAAACTGCGCCAAAGGGCTAACCCTGCTACATTCTGCTACATTTCACCAAAATATGGGTCATCTGCGCCAAGCCTGCGCCAAAAACTCCAGTTTTGGTCGCCTTTCGAAACCAAACTTGTACCGTAATTGAGCATGCGTGAGCTAGGTGGCGCAAGCGGCCGTCCGACACAAAGTACCCTGCATCAATCGTCCACCCGGTCTCGCATGTTTTTTTTTTTTTTCGCCGTCTCTCGTTTTGCGCTGTCGTCGTCTCATATATCTTGTCTTGCGCCCCTTGCGCCTTAATATATATATATATATATATATATATATATATATATATATATATATATATATATATATATATATATATATATATATATATATATATATATATATATATATATATATATATATATATATATATATATATATGTGTGTGTGTCAAAGATAGACGCAAGCGTGCGCGGACGCTCCACCGCTAGCGTGTCGGGTATCAGCCATGCCGTCATGCTGTGAAACGAAACCATGTTCTTGCGTGGCGGGAGTTCCTTTGTGAGCTGAAGCACTCGCTCCTGAAAGCAGTGGCCATGAGAAAACCATATTTGGTCCCTGCCTGCCAGTCACCGTGGTCGCGCGACGTCCGGTGTTGCCGTCCTCACGTCGCTGCAGATATGGCGCTTTCTTAACTGAGACATAGGGACAGCCGCAAGTTCATCAACATTCCTTTTCTTGTTTAAATCGTACGCTACTACAACAATCCCCCTTTAACTCAAAGACTACTGTGCCGAGGTATTAATTACCTAGGCTTCTTTTGGTGGGCTTTCTTTCTAGAGGGACGCACCCCGGAACGTGAAAAATCTGCCGCGAAAGAAAGTTGGTGAAGAGAAGTGAGCTAAAGCAAAGAAGGCCATGTCTGCACGCTGAACCCGCACAGTGTGCTTGTTTGTCTCGAGTTCAGTCGTTACACAAAGCGCTCCAAGAACGTTTTGACCCTGGCTCGCGACGTCTTGCATCGATGCACTCAGGTTCTTATTTACTTATTTTTGTTGTCTGGTTAGTTGGTATTTTGCCTGTCGGCCTGGCAAGCACGCGCCGCTAAACTGTTTTTTGTCGTATGCTGTACAGTTCCATTGTACATACATTTTTGGGAACCAATAGGAGGTATTCACTGGACGCCATATTTGAGGGCGATGTTTAGAGCGCATGCTCTGAACGAGCTCACATTAATAGCCTGCTAAGACCGGCAACCTTGATGGAGCTTAATGCACGCTCCAAAAGGACTGCGGAAGCTCGCCGTCAGCACGCGCTCAGCAGCAGCGCACACGGATATGGCCGCCAGTGAATACTCCCTATAGACCGATCTCATCAAGCGTTCGACGCATGCGCGAGGCAGCCATAACTTTAGTTCACAGGAGGCAATCGGCAGTGCACGAGACTGTTCGTGGCCTGCACGCGCAGAGCTCCAGCGAGGTTGTCGCACGCGCAGAAAGACTAAAGTTCTCTCGACGCTTTGCGGCAGCGGTGGCGTAGTCAAACTGGCTGGTGAGATCGGTCTGAGTGGCATGGTTTAGGTTTCGATCGAACAGCCGTCTCCGCTCGCGTGATGAAGCAGGTGCATTTGCAGGACTGCCGAAGTTGCCCTCACGTGCATGTGAAAATGATTGCACGACAGAGGCACCAGCCGGGATGCGTGCCATCTATTGTTTTACGTTTGCTTACTTTTGACAAAAATCTGGCACGTCGGGAACTAGTAAAACGGTGGCAAGCGCGGTTTTTCGGTATTGCGGGGCAACGCCTACAGCACTGTACACTTGTGAGATGTCTCAATGTGTCTTTGGAGACATTGCAAGTGGACATTCATTACTTGCCGAAGGCAAAGCAAGACTTGCAGCAGCGTTGCAGAAAGTTTTGAAGAGCAAAAAGAAAAGCACCCGCTTGTCGTAATGCACCTTTTTCTTCTGTACCATTTCGCATTGCACTACAGTGTTTCATCGGTGGGACACTGCTTCCATTTATGATATAACTAGTCAACCTAATGCTGTGAAATTTACTACCAAGCTGGTCATTTCCATAAATTTTAATATGTGCAGTTTGGTTCTTAGTTATCTATAGCGGGTACATAATATATATATTACTTAACTGAAGCAATGCAAATTCTGTCACGTCATTGACATTTCAGTTACATGTTGAAAGACTCCCAGGTGGTCAAGCTTGACCATAATTTGTTTATTGCGGCGAGCAAAGTGCCCTTCGTTTGTCCAGCACTTAAAACAAATATTTTTCTTTCTAAGACTATTTGCTCCAAAAGCCGCTTTTCATGCTCCGAAGCGCGGTTTTGGCTGCTCCGAAAGCTGCTCCAAAACGGCTTTAGTCGATCACATCACTGCCCATGTTAAAAATACCAGTCGGGTTCGAGCGGGGTTCGGACTGAAATACTTAATGGTTGGGTCGGGCTCGGGCCGACCTTCACGAACCATAGTCGGACTCGGGCCGGTTTCGGGTAAGAACTTCGTCGGGCTGAGTCGGGCCGGGTCGGGGCGGATCGGGCCTTACGATTCCTGCCCGATGTGATCTACAGCTGCGGTGATCGTCTGGAGCGAGGAGAGGGAAGTTGGGACCTGCTCGAAACCGAACGGGAGCCCTTTTATTTCACCTTTACCTACTTTTTGCTTTCTTGGTGCTGTTTTTTCGCCAGGGTAAAAGAGGATATTTATAATTACTACCGCGAACTGCGTCCGGTCCCAAGGGAGCCACCGCCCGCGTATCCTCGGTATACTTCTACACCACGCGGAGGCATGGCAGTGGGCGGTACATCAAGAAGCTTCGAGTTTCGCGCCAATTTCTCGGAGTCCTTCTTTCTCAAGTGTAGAGTCCCGTTTTGTTTATTTGTTGCTCCTGACAAGATGGCTTTCGCTACGTGAGGAACCGGCTACTTCTGAACTCGGGAAAATATGTTTCTGGTGCGTGGCACGTGGCCCCGACGATAGGACGCGAGCGCCAGCGCAGCACTATAGCACACCAGGTTAGCTCATAGGTAAAGGTGCCGGCAGCTGGACGTAGTACTGCCCAAAAAAGGATTCCATCTAGAAATAAATTCTCTGAACCGAATTAAGGGAAAGAAAAAAAAAAGTTCCGCGCAAAACACCCTTGCCTAATAATAAAAAAATTAAAAAAAAGGCCTGTCAAGGACATTGAATGGTTCTGTTGAGAACGGATATTTCCAGTCTTGATCCACATGACCTGTATGTAAGGTTAACATACTATACAGGTCAGGGTAGGACATTTCGTTTAGGTTCGGGTCACACGCTACTCAAAGGTTGATTGGACCCAAGGCAAGCGTCAGAAAAACGGAGCTCCTGAAGCTCCTTTCGCCCCTTCCAGCAGTAGAGGGAAACGTGCCCGCTGGTTCGCGAAAAACTCGAGGTCGGCGCATTGTAGAGGCACTCGCGGAGATCCTTCCCGCCGCTTACTTGCATCTCAGCGCTGAGCAAGCAGCCAAGCGCAGGCACGAAGGTTCATCTCCTGTCCTGCTGCCTGTCGTGGAGCAGCCGTGAAATCCGCTGGAAGTTTCCCCGTGAGTGCATTCGGCCGGCGCATTGTCGACGTTTCGCTTCGTCTCGTTCCATCGGACAGGTGGCAAAGGCTATCTTGGAAAGTGGAGCAGCCTCGGTCTCGACGCGGCTCGGCCTCCGCGAGCGCTTGCCGCAGCCTCCCCCGCTGCCTAAGGACGCCCCGAGGGATTTCCCCGCCGGATTGCCAGACGGCTGTGTAACTCTCGCGTGCGCGCTATTATGTCTGCCGAAGGTCGAGCGCGTGTTGCGTACGTTCTATTTATGTGTACTGTACGCGGAGAGTGACGCGACCAAGTGGCTTTGGGGACGTCTTTATTGATAGCGTTTGGACCCTCACGAGGCAGATTATACCGTTGGTCGGGTGCCGCTTGTGCCTCGTCCCGCGACGGTCGCCGCCGCTGCTGGCGGCCTCTGGCGTGCCGAGGTTTTTCCCGCCTCCGTGCGCGCGCTGGGGTTTCGAAAACAGCATCCTCCCCGCGCCCACATGGAAGAGACAACTTTCCTCATTTAATTCGAATCCCGAATTTATTTTCATTTTATTGTTTTTTTAGGGGCGGGGATGGCGGATGTTCGCTTTTGTCAACAACGTGAGGGAAATGCTGCGCCGTCGCTCGCCGTCAACGGCGCGGCGTCGGCGGTAACAGCGCGCGCGCGCGCCACACGGGTCGTGAATGACTGGCATATCGACTGTGTCTACGCAGCAGCCACCATCAGGACACAGCTCCCTCGCACGCAGCAGGTGGTTGGAGCGTGGCTGCAAGTGGACCGAGAGTCCCAAAAGGGCCAGCGCGCTTATGCGCCGCCACGGAGTGCTGCGCGCCGTCCCAGGGAAGGATTCCACTACAGCCTACTTGCGAAGGCATTCCAAATATTCAATTGCACATTCCTTGAGGAGCAGCAAAAAGAAACAGGCGCGTCTCTCTTTAAACGGGGGGAGAGAGAGGGGTGACGGCCAGTTTCCTTTCGAACCGTGCAGCAGTACACCCCTCCCTGTAATTAGCCGGCTGTGCCCCGAAAGCACCGCTCGGCGCACAGCGCCGATCAGGCGAGCCCCTCTCCGCGATCCCTCCCCGTGCTCTTGGAGCCGGCCGGGCCCGAAACCGCCCCGCGAGTGCTGGCCCTTCTTCTCGCTGTGCTTGGAATCACCTCGAAACACGAAGAGAAGCCCCGTTCCGCGGCTTGGCTGCGGCTTTTGTTTTTAGGCTGTCCCGACGAGCGTTTAACCAACTTCCCTCGTTCTTGTTTACTTGCAGCTAGAGAAGACCTTCTCGGACTCGGAGTTCGAGGAGTCGGTCGCCTACTACATGCAATCCTGGTTGCCCAATGTGCCCGCGCCAACGGAGGAGCATTTCAAGACCATGACGGTGAGTTTGGGTCAAGGTCCGAGCTGGTCCGAAGCCACGCGCAGACCTCAAACCATAGGTTCGAGTCCGGTGTGCCGATGGTCGACCGAATCGGTGAAGGAATTGGCCGAGCTACGCAGATTGGTTGCATAGCTTGGTTCAGAGACTTTGATTCTGTGAACAGTGCACGGACGCTCTGGAGTCTGTGTTCGGTCAACGGGCAGACGCAGGAACCGCACCCGTTCAACGAAAGTGAGATTGATCCATTTCGGGTGTTAAACTTTTGTTTTGAGTAACCAAGAAGTGCTCAAACGCGAGAACGCTATCTATGAGTTTGGTATTACGAAATATAGTACGCAGCATTCGACAAGTAGCGCTCAAAATATTTGAGAAACCGCGAGCATTCCGTCATGTGGCACGCTCGTCGGAGGCGACGACGTGGAACATGACTCGATTCATGAAGATGGAGTGCCGTTAGTGCCGAAGAAGCTAGAAGACGTCTAGCTCTGCCAGCCACATTTTACAGCGCTTAGGGACGCCGCGTGTTCAGGTCCTCTTCCAGTGCGATCTCTATCAGGAAGAAAATGGTTCGAAAGTAGTAGCGGAGTGTATGCAGACCCTTCCGGCCGTTTGCGTACACGGCCGCCATCCAGAACGCCCGCCCGAAACACGGAACGTTTGGGGCTGCCTGGCGGTGCGTCAGCGCACTCGAATGCTAGACAAACTGGTTCAGCTCGCCGCACAGACACTTGGCTCTGTCCCGACAGGCGTCTGATGCTCGAGCCGCCTTTGTCTGCCCAAGTGGCACCGACGGGAGCGTCTCCGAACAGCTGCTTGCTCGCGAGCCTCTCGAGCCAGCCTCTGGCGGGCCGCAGCAACAGGCGTCAAGGCGTGTCGGACAAACGCGTCGAGTGTCTGCGCGTTTCGCAGTCGGGCCACTGACCCTTCGCACGCACTGACCTTGCGGTAAGACAACGAGGCACCCCGCTACCGGTGGTCCCGCCGACGTGCGCCCTGCAGCGGGGTCCGCCGCCGCAGCTCCTCTAATTGAGCATTTTCTCTTGGGCGCTACTCGACTGACGGCGTTTCGCCCTCGCAAATAAAGCCATTTGTCAAAAGGGGACGTCCCCCGACACGACGACCAGCGATGCACAATGAGCCCGCCCTCTGGAGCGCACCTCAGAGGTCAAATCCGTCCGAGGGGACGAGTTGGCTTCCCGAAGGGCAACATTCGGCGGAGGAAAGGCAGCGAGCAAAGTCGCTAATGGGCACGGGGAACCTCGGCTGAATGGAGAGCACAGAGACGCGCCGCGCCCGGGTCCCAGCGCGGCGGGAACAAGGTACCTCTCGGGGGCCGCGTTGACAGCGCGGACCAATTTGCGGGGGCTTCTCTGTTGGGGCTCCCGAGCAGAGATAAAGTGCGCAGATAGACGCCCCGGGCTTCTCGCGGCCAGTCATCACCTGGCCGAGAAGAGACGAGTGGGGCCACTTTTTCCCACGTTCGTGGTTATGAGCGGCCCCGGGCAGTCACCCAAAGAATGCCCGTGGAGCGAGTCCCGTCCCCCTTTGTTTCTCCCGCAGTGTGAGGTTCCGGGGGGGGCCGAGGCTGGCATTGTGTCCGAGGGAGCGCGGGAGGGGGCGCGCTCTTTCCCCCATGTCGGGTGTCACAAAGTCGGATGTCCCGCAGTGGTCGATCCGCGCTGCACCGGCACCGCCGAAGGAACTCAGCCCAGGCTGTCGCCGCCGGGGCAGTCGGAGAGAACTCCCGCGTTGAAGGAAAGCATCGCCCGAATAGTGAAAGGGCCAAGTGGGATCCCACATGAAACCAAGGCGGTCAAATTGTAACCAGTGTAGCCAAAGTTTCACGTGACCGTTTCTTTGAATCGCGAGCAATATATCCAGCGAGTGAGTCCAACTCCGACTTCGGACCTTTTTCATAAGACAGTCTGTCCCGAGCCGAATCCTACGCTCTAATGGCGGCATAATGCAGCATCTTCACACCAGGAAAAGTGAACGTCCTCGGAGCCATAGAACTAAGGGAGGTTACGTGCTCCCGGTTCCAGTGTGTCCTCAGAAAGGCGGTCATATTAACCCCGCGGCCTCCAGACGGCGGACCCTCAACGTATACATTAATAATAATAATAATAATTACTACTGCGACTCTGTTGAAAAGTCCGAACTTCATTTTTTTTAAAATTATTATTATATTTTTTTTTACCATAGACACGTATGAGAGCCGCAGAATTAGGGAGACTGGGTTTGTCGTGCTTCTGTCCGTCGCCCCGTCTTCCTGCCGTAATCTGTTTCGAATCTCGTTAAACTAACGCGTGAGAGAACACACATTCTCTTGGTCCGAGCGTGCTCTCCTACAATTTAATTGAAAAGTACGGTTGTGCCGTTAGAGCAGCGTGTAACAGAAAGGAGCGGTGACAACCGAGCCAGCGTGTCCCTGGCGGCAGAGATGCAAGAGCCGCTCACTTTGCCCGCAAGGTGCACGCTGGTCGATTGGAGCGCGTCCAAGCAGGCGCTCGAGAAGCGGCAGCATCATCCGAGGGACCCTCGGCCAGAAGAGAGACTTGCTCCAGAACCGAGATTTATCGTCCTATACATTACGGCGTGGGTGTTGTTGTACAGCCGGCTGTATTTTATCGCTTCCGTCCCCGCTTATTCCCCCTTACCAAATCAGATTAGAGGGCCGGGACTGCCGGCGACTGGCGTCTCGCGGAATAACAGCAACATGTGGCTAGTTCGAGACGCGGCAGCCACCAAGCGCCGACGCCCGCTGCACGTGGCGGCACGCGGCAGCGCTCCGGGTGGGTGCGCCACGCCGGCAGAACACGAGCGCGCGTCGCCAAGAGGTCAAGTTGTTTTTAATTTGGGGCAGGGCTGGCAACAACGCACCCCTTTCGTTTCCTCTATTTAGTACTTTAACTGATAAAATTGCACTATGAACAAAGGTACACTCGAGGGCATATTCTTTCGCAACAGAAGAAAATCCGACTGTCAGCCGAACGCTGACGTAACGCTCGTCTCCTCACTGATTGGACACACGTGCGTCTAACGTCTTGCTCAAGAAGATCTGACGTACTCCCACGGGTCGCACGTGATCCAACATAGAGGGACGCTCTACTCCTCCATAGGCTAAAGCGCCGTTACATATATGCGACCGAGTAAGACCGAGAGAGACCAGAACGGTCTTTAAGCCTCTTGTGACGTCTTGGGACCGGATGCGCTGCAGCGGAGCTGGTCCTATAAGAGATCGCAAGAGGCTTAAAAACCGGTCTGGTCTCCCTCGGTCTTACTCGGTCGCAAGAGTGTGAACGGGCCTTTAAAGAGCGAGCTCCGGGCTTCCCGAGGGAAAGAACGCGAAAGAGCGACAGATAAGCAGAGAAAGAAAGCCGGTGCTACTTTAGACGTTTTCACTTTGCCGCGACATTCTGAGGTAGTTTCAGTACTTTCTTGCCACTAGCTGCACTCGACCCTGGCGCGTTTCCGTTGTTCTACTTTCCGCACGCTCAGTCTATTATGTCTCACAGCCCAACAGGCCGTGAGTCCAGTGAGTCTACAGGACCACCACATAAGATGGTACCCACAAATGAAACATCAGCGGAGCGCTCGCGTGCTTACCGCGCACGACAGAAAACTCCGAGGTCAGCCGTTGGCACGGGCTCGGAGCCTTCGAGAGGTGCTCCCTACTCCTCCAGTGAACGGGTGTGGCTCTACAAGAAACGCTGGAATTTCGAGGCACATTCTGGTAACGCATTCTGTGTTGTCAGCGCTGTGTCCACAATAGTCTGGGAAAGGGGCTACCTTTTTGTGTGACCTGTTTAGGTCCCGATATGTGCTATACGCTCGCTGCATCTAACGAATCCATCACGCAACCGAAGGTCTTCGCCCTATTTGGCACAGAAAGGCCGACTTGCTTAAAGGCCAACCCGCAAAATATTTTTCAACCAGTGTGAAAATCTTCCTCGCCACCCTTCCGATTTCCCCCTCTCCCGCTCTTAACTTGACGGCGGGGGGCCTCCTTTTGTTGTTGATCCAGCCCCAAGAGGCAGCAACAAAAGGACCGACCGTCAAGTTAAAAGTGGGAGAGGGGGAAGAGGGAAGGGGGGTGGCGAGGAGGATTATGCAGGTCGGCCTTTATGACTTGTCGCTTATTTTTATAGGCGGAGAAGTGCGTGTCAGTAAAGCGTGCTTCCTGTGTGCGTGTGTGTGACCGTGCCATGCCTCTCTCCACAGAAGGAAGAGGCGTACCGGACTTCGTTTGGCTACGTGCAGTACTACGCCGTGGGCCTGGAACAGGCGGTGTTGGACCAGATCTTCCACAACGGGCCGTTCCACAGACTCTTTCTCGAGATCCAGAACAACCTGGGTCAGTTGCTGTGCGAGCTGCAGCTCGGCATCGTGCACTTCAATGTGGCCAAAAACCCAGATGTGCTTCGGGACGTGATGTCTCACGAGTATCGCGACATCAAGCAAGACAGTCAGCGCAATCTGCGCGACTACATCATCCTGCGCGAGTACATCAAGCTCACCAAGTACATCTCGCAACTGTTTTCCTACCTGCGGGACCAGTCCTAAGGTCGGCCCTTCCGCCGCCGCTGCCCTGCAGGCCGCGGTGACGTCGCGGACGCTCGTGCAGTGCCGCACCGGCCGGCCGTGTCTTATTTATTTGTATTTATTAAATTATTTCCAAGAGACACTCGACCGCAATATCATCGTCAGACATCCTTCAGCATGTGGCCATCAGTGCAGATCATTGTGCACCGACGCGTCGCCGACGCCAGACTGTGGTTCCCGACGCCCTGTGCTCCCCCGTGGCCGGCGGGGACGGTTCGTCGCTGCCGGACAGCCACATAGAACCACCAAAGATGATTGTAACTAGCAGCCTGTCCGTCTGTCTCGTGTACAGTGTCCTGTCCGCCCTTGTCGTCTGCGGGGGCCTTGCCGCTGCCTGCAGGGAAACCCCCGGCGCGCGCGCGCGCCCCTGCCTAGTGCCGCATCCGTCTAGATTCCTTCCCGGCTTGTTAGAACCAAGGGCTGCCACACCCCGAGGTCCCATAGTGCACTAGACGACTGCTGCCGAACTGAACCTGTCCCTGCGCCAGTTCGCACGTTGTTTACCCGAGGTTACGATTGCATTTAGCATAAGGTCATACATGTTAACAACGCCTGTTCCTGTCACGCCTGTGGTCTATTATGATTTGTTACCTGCGCCCTGAACTGAATCCGAAACAGACCTCAGAAGAGAGCAAGCGCATTCGTTTTGCCTTACTCCAAAGATTGCAGCCGCGACACGCATTGTGGTAACACCATCATTGCGCAGACACTCACAACTCAGCTAGGTCAACGTGTGTCTGTGTTTTTCTGTGTAGGGACAAAAACTTCCGACTAGGCACTCCGGCGTCCGGAGTCGCAACGAGCTCTCCCGCGCTTCGACGATCCCGTTCCATATTTATTTGCTAGCTGAAGAAGACGCAATTGCCCGCTTCTGTGTGTATGTACGTGTGTGTGTTTTTGGTTTTTTTTTTCAACACGCGAGGATTGAATCACTTATGGCAGCAACTGCAATGTGAGAAAAAGGGAACCACCGACTTGTTTATGCACACTAGTCTGACACATCCATTCACCGCGCACACGTCCGAGAAAATGGCTCCTTTTTAGGAGAAACTACCTCAGTCCTCGGGTCACTACGCGTCACGCAGCTCCTTGGGAGTCCATTCGTGGCCGCTTTGATTCCTTGGCCATTCTTGTTTTGCTCGGTTTGTGACGCATCCATGTTCAGCGTAAAACGCGAAGAAATAAAAGGGCGTCCAGCCTCTCCTTCTCTTCCCCCCTCTTTTTTTCTTCTTTTCGTGAACGTCCGTACAAGGATTACGGTTGAGCATGTAAAATTTACAGGTTTCCATAATTTTATTTCCTCTACTACGCCCATCGAATTCATTTCACACAATCGTAAACAAATCCACGAAAACGTATTCGAAGAGGGAGAGAGAGAGAAAAGGCGGCAGATATTAGCCGATAGCAGGCTAAACCATCTATAACCTCAGGGCAAAGGTGCGACATGGCTAGGTTTTGTACAGTGCACTAAACTGTTAAGTATATAACTCTCGAGCAGTGTCCAAAACATATCACCTCCGCCTAGCGATGAAAGCGATGATGCCGCAGAGAATAATGGAGCTCGTTCCCAGACTGCCGCCACATCCATTCACTGGGCACAATATTTGAGGGCGCTGTTTAGAGCGCATGCTCGGAACGAGCTCACATTATTAGGCCGTCAAGACCGGCAACCTTGATGGTGCGGAATGCGCGTTGCTAAAGAACGGGAAGCTCGCCATCATCACGCGCCTAGCAGTCGCGCACACAGCTGCGGCCGCCAGTGAATACTCCCTATACAAGGTGCGTGACCTCTAAGTTGTCTTTTCTGCCTCTGTCAATCTCAGCTTCCTTTTTTTTTTTTTTTTCATCCCGGTCACATTCCGTTTGACATAAAGTCCGACCGGAGCAAACGCTACCCATCCGATGAAGCCAATCAATCGGCGCTAAAAGGGCCTTGTCACGATGCTCGTCGCTTTTGCGCGTTTGCCAATCACCTGCTAAACCAATCACGCAGAAAATAAAGCGCAGAATCACGCTGCATTCACTGTGCATGCTTGCGCTGGTAGCAAACTCATCCTTGACATTACTGTACGATACGGCGGTACTATGTAAAAGCAAACCGTGTGTAAACACACGAAAGTGAAACGGCAACTTTTTCGACATTACCGCTGAAGCAGACGTCGGCCACGGCGTTTATAGTGAGAGTGTAACGCTAGAAAAGGAGGGCGGCGAGAGCTGCCAGACTTCGCCAGCAGATGGCGCAGCCAGTCTCTACAGCCTAAACTACGGCCGATGCTCGAGGGTTATATCTAACAGTTGAGCGCACTGCACTGCCATGTTGCGTATGAGCACTGAAAATATATTTTTTTTCAACACGGTTTCACACAAAGGGCCTATCAGGCAAAAACAATTTGCAGTTAAAGGTTGCGCGCAGTGGTCGAGACTATCGGGGTATAAAAGCTGAGCCGTCGCGTGGCTTTCAGGCTTCGCGCGCGACGGACACCTATCCCTGAATTTCTCGCCTCTTGATGCTCTTTCTCCTCCCTCCGATTTAATCCTTCCAGACCGAGACTACGGCGTTCCTGTTGTGGTTTGTCCTCGCAGAAAAGTCAGTACGTAAGGGCCACCCAAGCGACAATAAAAATTTTATGCTCGCTCATTGATGTTGTAGCATCAATGGGCTGAGAAGAGACATATTTCAGCGCGATATTGCCTCGCAGAGAAGTCGGCGTCGGTGAGACGGGAAAATCCTGATTAGTCAATAGGGTCGCACGGGGATTTCAAACAAAGCTCACGTGAAACGTGACGTCTGGAGTGGAATTAAAGTGATTAAAACATGACATGTAATGCAAATTAAAGGTCGCCGCACGTCTCACAATATTTCACTTTACAAAGTAATTCATTCGCCTCTGAAAAAAAATGAAATTGAAGAATTTTAGGTGGAGGCGAGATTCGAACCCACGACTACTCTTCGGTTGTGAGCCAGACACGCTACCGTGGCCATGCAGGCACGCTTACGCAGCTTGGGAACGGAAGGAGTTTTATATGTTTAGCTATCGCGTTCCACCCTTAAAGGCGAAGCTTAAGCGTCCTCCTGTAATTCTGCCCCACGAAGGTTCGCAGGTTACAGACTTGATTCCCCACTGCTCCGTCACAACGGTTGTTCCTGATCTTCGCGCTGTTGACCCATTTCTCTTCCTTTACCGATGTCGTCTACCTTCGCCCTTTGTTGCCTTCCCGTGAGAAATTTTTCAGAGTACTTTGATTCACTGGTTTTGCACAGCATCATTTCACATCTGGGATTCGAGAATAAAATTGTTGGAGGATGTTTTCACACTTTACCCGGTTTGTTGTCTCTACTGACTCGCGAGGTGCTACAGTACATCGGCTGTTTGCTTCCAGGAAGCGCGACGGCAAAATTTTGCGAATAATTGCTCAGCCCCGCCCCCCCCCCCCCCCCCCCCCCCCCCTTTTTCCCCAATTTTCCTGTTTCGGCCGGTACAAAACGTGGGTGGCAGCGTGCAGAGCGTGACACAGGTGAGTACGGACGCGGGATCTCGAGGTTTCCCCATCTCTCCCTTACATATCGAAGACTGCCTTCAAAATTACTGCTGCTGTCGAGTGTCCTTTTCTTGGGCTCATACTTGGACAGTAAGAGTGAGCGTGGGACTACAATTTTAACTGGTCTGGGTAAAACCTAAAAAAGTGCTTTGAAATCGTGTTCCTGCTAACTGTGTTGTGCAGTACAAAAGTGTTCACAAATGAGCGGTGGTAGAAAACACGAGAGTTTAGAAGGCATGCAAGACATGCCCAAGACGGTGAAATGTTCCTCTTAATGTTACGGTATGGCAGTAATTACAGTACGTGAAAAAGAGTGAAGAGCTAGGACTTGAGTTCAGTGCATAGAAATAGAAAGAAAAAAAAGGCTTCTAACAAGACGCGTAAGAATGTGCTATATATGTACACAGGGACTTGAAATCTGGGAAGTGCAGAGGTGCAAGTATTCAGGGATGGGGATAAACGAGGTCAGAGAATGCACGCGAAAGCGCGAAAAATATCTGCAAACAGGGGGCAACAGGAATTAAGAATTACAAAGAAAAGAGCAATGTTCAACTTTAACGGATATGGTGTGGTGAAGAATATCTGGAAATGAGTCACGGTGGTCGGCTTAACATGTGGACATCCCCGGGATTCTGAGAAATTGGACTGTGCTCTCTTGGCTATTCTCAGCAAAACTGGAAAACACTGATTTCAGACGAAATACTGCAGAAACCGGACTAAGCATAAACCGCAATAATACAAGAATAATTAATGCGAATTGGAACCCGAGGGGGTAAATTTTTTACTTTAGGCCCGGCATATTTCCGCATTGTGTATCATGAACAACCTTTGCAATATCTTGAATTCCTTCGAGCCGCAACAAAACACCGCAATATCATTGAGGATTGCAATAACATGAAACTTACAGAACTCATCTCATATAAAAGTTAGTTGATTGCATATATATATTTTATTTCCCAGGAAAAAACACAATGCCCATAAATACGTCGAAGTATATAACCACTATAGACTTGAGGTTAAATAGCGCGGCATAGGCAGTTAGGCTCCAGTAGCTATGGAGAGAAAAAATATATAAACATAATGAATGGGTACATGCAGACAAAGGTTTGACTACACTCGAAGGAGTAGAATCGAGTACAAAGAAATAATATAAAAAGCGGTTGAAGGAAAGAGGCGAAGAAAGAAGGACAGGCAACATTTTAGGTACTACCTACAGGTGAGCAACGAGGACAATGAAGAAAGCAGGCCCAAAGATTCGTGTCGAGGTACATGAGCAGCACCCGTGAGATTGCAGAAGCAAAGTCAGTGAAGAATATCGTAAAATAAATGAAGGGAGAAATATGGGAAACGAGAATGCAGAAGAAACCAGATATAGAAAAGCACAGGTAAAAAAAAAATATTAAAAAGGAAGTAATATTCAATAATGCCAGGGGAAATGTGCTATTAATTAAAGGGAGGGCAGGGTTGTTGAGAACGAGGACGTTCGATACCAAATACCAGATGGGCACATCATGCGTTGTATATGTGGAGGAAGAGCCAGAAGATAATATGAAATATAAACAACCCGGCAACCCAATCACATCGCACGCAGTGCTAAACTTCGTGGTATAGCTTTGGGGTCCAAGCAGGACGATGGCACAAAGGATTTTTGAAGAGGAGAACAAAGTAAGAGAAGGTTCAAAGAATACTGGTCTAAATCACGGAAATGACAGGCAGTGACTACGATCAAATTTTCTTTAGCAACACTCCCAGTATACTGTCGATAATATTTGGCTAGACGGCACAAGCAATCTCGTTTCAAAGGGAAGAATCGCCATGCTTGCGACATCCTCCTATCCAACGGCGAACGTTATAGTTTATTGTGTTAACGACTGTACCCATCTATCCAATATCCAATATTTTAGCTTATTGTGTCCACGGCTGTACTTAAACAGGACCACGATAGAACAGAGCGCGACACAACAGCATTGCCAATACATCACACGTCAAAACAGCACGGCGTCAAAACAGCCCAGCAAAAAAAGAGCACGTGGTAAACAGGCACAGCGTCAAAAATGCACGATGACAAAAGAACGCTTGCCAAAACAGCACAACGTCAATATAGCAGAGCGTCAGAAATGCACAACAAATAAATGCATGCCAAAACAGCACAGCGTCAAAGAGCACAAAGACAAAATAGCACGTGCCAAACCAACACTACGTCAAAATAGCACAGGGTCAAAAGAGCACAACAAAAGACCACGCGCGAAAACAGCACAATGTCAAAACAGTACAGCGTCAAAAGGCCACAACGACAAAAAACACGTTCCAAAACAGTGCAATATGAAAAAAGCACAGCGTCAAAACGGCACGACAAAAGAGCACGTGCCAAAACAGCACATCGTCAAAATAGCACATCGTCAGAAGCACCAATACAAAAGAGAACGTGCCAAAACAGCACAACGCCAAAACATCACACCGTCAAGAGGAAACAACGACAGAAAAATGTGCTAAAACGGCAGAACGTCAAAACAGCACAGTGTCGACACCAAGAAAAAGAAGCACGTGTCAAAACAGCACAACGTGAATAGAAACAAGACAGCGTCAAAGGGGCACAAGAACAAGAGAGCACATGACAGAACAGTACACCGTCAAAAGGGCGCAACGACAAAAAACACGTGCCAAAACAGCACAACGTAAACACAGAACAGCGTCCAAATTGCACATTGTTGAAAAGGCACAATGACAAAAGAGCACGTGCAAAAACAGCACAGCCTCTTTAAGGGCACAACGACAAAAGAGCACGTGGCACAACAAAGCAATTTCAAAGCAACTCAGGGTCACTACGGCATAACGAGAAGAGTGCGTGCCAAAAGAGCACAACGACAAAACAGCATAGCGTCAAAAAAGCACATCGGCGAAAGAGCACTACGTCAAAATAGCACACAGTCACAAGAACACAAGTACCAAAGAACACAGGCCGAAACAGTACATCGTGGAAAGGGCACAGCGTTGAAAGGGTACAGTGACAAAAGAACACGTGCGAAAACAGGACGTCAAAACCTCACCGCGTCAAAAGGACACTACAACAAAAAAAGCACGTGCGAAAGCAGTACGTCAAAACCGCACAGCGTCAAGGGCACGAGAGAAAAGCGCGCGCCAAAACAAAACAATGTCAGAACAACACACTGTAAGTAGGGATGAACGTCAAAACAGCACAGCGTCAAAAAGGTATGACGGCAAAAGAGCACTACATCAAAACAGTACAGCGTCAAAAGGGCAGAAAGACAAACAAAAGTCGGCACCAAAACATCACAACGTCAAAACAGCAAGACGTCAAAAGGCCACAGCTACAAAGACAGCACGTGCAAAAGCAGCACATGAAAAGTGCTCAACGACAAAAGACCACGTGCCAAAAGAGCAGAACTTCAAAACAGCACAGCATCACAAGGGCACAAGGACAAAAGAGCAGATATCAAAAGAGCACAATATCAAAACAACACAGCGTCACAAGGGTACTACAACGAAAGAGCAGCACGTGCAAAAACAGCACAACGTCAGAACAGTAAGGCGTCAAAAGGGCACAACGACAAAAGAGAACGTGCGAAAACAGCAAAATGTCAAAAGAGCACAGCGTCAAAAGGACACAAGGACAAAGACCATGTGCCAAAACAGCACAACATCAAAGCGGCTCAGCGTCAAAAGGGCACAACGACAAAAGAGCACATGCCAAAACAGCATGGCGTGCAGGCACGTAGCCAGGATTTTGTTTCGGGGGGTGGGGGGGGGGGGGGCGCCCATGACAAAATGCTGTATGAGAGGGAGGGGGTCCGGGCCCCATGGTCCCCCCCCCCCCCCCTGGCTACCTGGCTACGTGGAAGATGGCGTGGGTAGGGTACAACGACAATAGAACACGTGCGAAAACAGCAAATTGTCAAAACAACACAGGTTCAAAGGGCAAAATGACAAAAGAGCACATACTAAAACAGCACAACGTCAAAAGGGCGTGACAACAAAAGACGTGCCAAAACAGCACAATGTCGAAATGGCGCAGCGTCAAATGGGCACAGTGACATAAGAGCACGTGCCAAAACAGCACAGCGTCAAAAGGGAACGACAAAATAGCTGATAAAACAGCACAGCGTCAAAACGGCACAGCGTTAAAAGAGTAGAACAAAAGAGCACGTGCCAAAACGGCACAGTGTCAAAAGGGCACAACGATAAAACAGCACAAGGTCAAAACAGTACTACGTTAAGAGTACTACAAAAGAGCACGTGCCAAAAGGGCACGTGCGAAAATTGCACATCGTCAAAAAGGCATGACAAATGAGCACGTGAAAAAACAGTACAATGAGAAACCAGCACAGCATCAAACGAGCACAACAAAAGAGCACGTGCCAATGCAGCACAGCGTCAAAATGGCTCAATCACAAAAGAGCTAGTGCCAAAACGGCATAGCATCAAAAGGGCATAACGACAACAGAACATGTGTTAAAACGGCACCACGTCAAAACAGCATAGCGTCAGAAGGAGACAATGACAAAAGAACATGCGCGAAAACAGTGAGCACGTAAAAACAGCACAGCGGCAAAAGGGAACAACGACAAAAGAGCACGTGCCAATGCAGGACATCAAAATTACTGAAGGACGCTTAAACTTCGCCTTTAAAGGAGCTGTGCAACGATTTCAACGCTGAAAGAATTTCCATCTTCTACTTTTGACATTGTTTATCTTGTCACAAAGGACAAAAAACACATCTCATTCCTTGAAAACGTTGCGATTCCGCCGCGTAATCGCGAGG